CTGGGGCATGCCCTGCGGTTTTGAAAAAGGGAACGAGGAGACAAGGAGGGCGGAGGCGGAGTACGAGGTTATCGACCCACGCGCGAGGGCGAGGTGGGCGAAGGAGGAAAGGAGGGAGGAGAGGAGAAGAGGCGGCGGCGGCGGCGGGAGGAGGCGATAGTGGTTGATTTGAGGGATGTATGAGTGTTTATGAGCACGAGTTGGTGCGTCACACTCGCCTAGGCTGGTGCATCTTACTCGAATAGGCGCAGGTACGGAGGTGGTACACAGATGACAATTCATTCAATTTCAGGCATACAACCCATCAAACCAGATCCACTCTTCACAACTTCTCCTTCTGCACCACTTGCAGACTCGACATAGCGTTCATTTCTTGCCGCATTTGCACTGGCCGGCCTATGCGGGATGAGAGACGTGTATGGGAGTGGGGGAGTTGACGTACCGCGCAGCTGCAAGCATCGCCGCACTTGCAATCGTCGTTCCCGCAATGGGTGTTCACGAGGGTAATGTCAACAACCTGTGCGCCAGCTCGCATCAGTCTTCAATTCCACACAAGGCAAGGGGACATACAGCCATTATGTTCGAATTCAACGATAGTGAATGTGGTGAGTTCTTTATGAGCTCGGGGGACCTTGTCACCTCTGATGCGCTTACTATAAGTATCCCAGCATGGGGTGGAGTGGCGTGTCGGTTGTCAACAGTCATTTGACCCCGCCGAGCACCGGCAACGACGGAGTGTTTGATTGAATGAAATCATTGCACGTGCCCCCCAGTCTCACCAGGCGGCATCCATTTCCGGAACACCAAGACATGGGCGCTCCCCTCTTGGGACATTGATGGGTCTCATAACATCCAAAGAGTGAATTGTCTAATGTGGGCATCTTCATTCGATGCTTTCTGGAAAGATAAAACCAGCCGCGCGCCCTTATGCAGTCGCCCACCACCACAGTTTGTACCTCTATAGACTCGCAGCGATGGGCGGCGGCATTTCCGGGGAAAGTGTCCGTCATTCAGCAACCGCACTGGAGAACAACGTTGCCGTCGACCAGGGTGCCGTTCTCTCCCCTGTACGTATCCAAGACCTTCATCGAAGCCGGCGCGAGAAGCAAGCTGGGCTCCATGCCAAGATCCTGGGAGTCGACGTATGCGTCTTTGCCAACCCCGGAGGTAGCTGCCAAATCAGGGAACGATGCTCCTACAATCTCCTTGTGAGTCGCCAGGGCGGACGCGAGCTCCGAAGTGGTCGCGTCGTTGATGAAGAAGCAGGACCCGATGGGCCTTGGGACGGCGAAACGTTGTTTACCATCACGTGTCTTTCTGCTTCAAGAGTCAGCGCCGAATCAATGAAGGATGAAGAAACAAACAAGATAGCAGCAGTGCCAGCTTCAAGCAGGTTCTCGTTGAACACTTCATGATCAAGCGACAGTCCGACATCATGAGCTAATTTATGCAACTCCTCCCTCTCCTCGGCAGTGATGTAGCCTCGCTTCCACGCAAGAGTGGCTGAGAAAGCCATATCGATCATGATCGCTTTCATTCCCTCAATGATGTTTCACAAACAGCAAAGAACTGGGCTGACCGTGACCATGCCTTAAGGGGACAACGGGGGTAAGCTCCAAGGTCGGGCTCCATGTGTGGCCGAAAGCGATAACTCGGTCGAGCATGATCTCGTGTAGGTTTGGAGTCTCGAGTTCGAGCATAATCTTGATACCGCGATAGCAGATCGAATCGGCGATCTCGGCGAGTTCTCCAAGTGATACCTCGCTAGGACTAATCACATGAGAACAGCCATTCTTGGTTCCTTCCCAACCACCGTCGATCGTCTGACCCATCGGAGCCGAGCGACGGCCAAAAGCAGTTGCGACGAGTTGTGGTCCATACTTGACCATATCCGCCCACAGCTGCGTGTCCATAACAGAGGAGATCTTGATGAGCTCTGCAAACCCATTCCTGATCTGGTTCTCTGCAAGCGTGCGGAGGAAGTTAAAGTCCAGTACGGTCAACATGGGAGCGTGGTAGGCCCCGAGTCGGTTCTTGAGCTTGCCGTGATTGATTCCCACTTTGATGGAGACAGCTGCGTCGATCAGACCGATGAGGGTTGTGGGAACGCGAATGAAGTTGGAGGAGCGGCGGTAGCTCGCACAAGCGTACCCGGTCCTGCTCTTGTGTCAACTGCATCTTTCGGCCACACCAACAATACGTACACATCCGTAACGAGACCGCCTCCGATCACAAGAACAGGCTCTGCGACAGACTTCAACAAGGATATCGGGAAAGGATGTATCCACTCACCCTTTCGAATTAACCCGAATTTGTCGAACGCGTCTACCAGAGAGAGCATCGTGGTCATTGTCTTGTGCATCTCTCCACCCGGCATGACGTGGATCATACAGGAAATCTTGTGATGCTCGAAGTCTGTAAATTCACATCAGCCTAACTTCCATCTCGATCGACCTGGACGTACAAGCTCTAACTTGAGCACCATAGAGACCCTCTACATTAGCGTCCATCACAGCCAGAACGCGGCCCCACTTCTCGTAGCAATCATGCAGCACGCTCTGGGAGAGGTCGAACACTCCAGAAGCGAACTTGAACGCGTAATGCAGGTCCTCTGTTCCGCTGACTTCGAACCCTTGCGGAACGACCTGAACCGTCGCACTCATATCCGAGGATGGGGCCCCACCGCTGTAAAGTGCAGAGGACATGTTGTGCCGAGCCGAGGAAGCAATGGTATGACAGGAATGGGAGCGGTGCACGGAGCTTTGGAGCGTTATTTTGGGACCGCTGTGGGGAGGGTCAAGCGTGCTGACGGGGCTCTTTATGGAGGTTTGTCGCGTAGGCCACGGTGCTTCAAGAGTAGCGCGCGAGAGTTCCATTATGATCTGCTTGATTGATCCGTCTTCCTCATGAAAGTAATAGATTTGGGAAGAGAGGGAGGGCATCAAGGACACGTCGCGCTGTTGAGCACCTTGTCAGAGCAGAGTGGTTCGAAGCATAGAGCAGAAACGCTCGTCCACAAGAAAGTGGAAGCGATGAAGACACCATGCAGGATAAGGAATGTTCAGAATGGGCCTTGGACAGATAATCCTAGAAGGCTAGATGCCTGAGAACAATGCCTTAGAGAAGTGCACCAGCCGAGGACCTCTTCCTTTCTCTCGATCAGATGTCCCAGTATATATGTTTTCGCAGAACAGTAGGAAGCAAGTTGCAAGCATGTCCAGCTGGGACAGAGAGTGGAGAACGCATAGCAGGCCCCGCATACAGAGCGGTCAAGATGAGGCGAACGAAAGCTAGCGTTTGGAAACGGAAGAAGTCTTCTGAAAACGTTCAAAAGAAAGGTCCTCTATTTACGCCGCCACTCAAGACAGAATTTCAAGAAAGCAATCCTTCGATGTAGGGGGTGAGAAGAGACACCAACTCGAGTATCCTTCCCTCAAGAAACAGTAGCAGAGGCAGTAAGGATCGAGATTCTTTAACAATGTGCGCGATCTCAACACCAAACCCAAGCATATTCACAGGGATAATCAGCAATACGGAAAGGTGGATCCATGCCATGGGACGGTCAGACGAGGCTTTGCGAAGGCGTTGTGGTCGTGGTCGCGAACAGAACACGCCTCGCGGTTACACATACCCTTGGCGCTTCTTCTCAGACGATCATCATATCGATCAAGCAACATCAATATCCTCCCTGGATCGACGGAGAAGGAAGTCCGTCTGGTGACTGCATCTTCAGCTACGAAAACTCATGAGCTGGCATGTCTTGATTTTCTTATATACTTCTGCGGCCGTGACGGGTGGAGAGTTTCCTCTCAATGACTACTCGCTTGTCGAACATTGCGATGGTGCTGCTCCTAACGAGACCGACATACTTGCAACATGTACTGACAACTGTTATCTTGATCTCTTTATCTGTACTAATGTGCCCTATCTCATTCGGGATATGCGCGTTCTATGCCATATTCGTTCCAAGGCGCTGTGTGAAAACGCCCAACTCGCGTCCACCTGTTGTTCTCATCAATGGGGCGCACATGGCTAAGGGACTCGCGATGGTTCGCGCTTTTGGCAGGGCAGGCTGTAAGGTGATTGTTTCTGAAGAGGGAAGGTGTGTATGTGCCTTTGCTCACCCGTTCTTGAGGTAACGCCTGTTTAGAGATGGTCACTTGACGAGCACTCGATTTTCACGTTACGTGTCGCGCTTCTATACCGTGCCTCGGTTTCTGGATACCAAAGCGGCCTACATCTCAGGAACTGCACAGTCCACACAGGCTGGATACATCTCTAGTCTTGTTCAGGTCGCTCTTTGCGAAGGTATCGATCTGTTCGTGCCTTGTTCAAGAGCGGAGACAGCACTCGCAGACGCGAAGGCAGCGCAACTAATAACGAAACTCAGTGGAGGGAAAACACGAGTAATCGTACCCAGCCTCTCAGTCACTAAGGAACTACACGGCAAGGCACGTCCTTTGCGATGTTATCACACCTTCCATTCTAATCTCACAAACACAGGGCACGTTTATGAAGTTGCTCGTATCTCTGGGTATGCCTTACCCTCAATCGTACACAGTCACATCAGTGGATCAAGCGATCGCTATCATTTCCTCTCATCCGGTGTCGCGTCCTCTAATTCTCAAGGCGAGCGTGGCACTGGACGACATCGGTCGCACCGATTGGACGTTTTATCCCATACAAGGCGACCATTCCTGCACCCTTACCCGCAAGAAGCTCAACAACTTGCCTATTCCGATAAGCGAACACGAGCCATTTCTTCTACAGGAGTTCATCCGCGGAGCCGAATACTGTACTCACGCTCTCGTTGTCGAGAACCAGCTCCGGGCGTTCGTCTGTTGTCCATCAAGCAACATGGTTATGCGCTATCTGGCCGCCGAAGAAAACATCAGCAAGAAAGCAGAAGAATGGACTACCGATTTTCTTGCTGCGTACTCCAAGGAGCGCCCCGAAGCTCCATTCACTGGGCACCTCTCGATGGACTTCATCCACAGGAAGGAAGATGACAGTCTCTACCCCATCGAATGCAACCCACGTGTTCATACTGCCGTATCGCTGCTCGCACAAGACACAGCTCTTGTAGACGCCTATCTTTCTGTCTTGCCGAGCTGCGATCAAGAAAGGTCGGACTACCAACAACCTATGGTGCACACACAGCCAGACACAAGTCCACTCTCCTGGCACGGGCATATGTGGTTCACTGTATTCTTACCCTACTTGTTTCCCATCCTGACCCGGATTGGCCTGCATCCAACCTTCGATTATATTGTTACTGACGAGGAGGCGAAAAGCCAGCTCCCCTACACGGATGCGACCTGGGATCCGGATGATCCTTGGCCGTTCTTTGCTCTGTACCATGTGCAATGGCCGTGGTACTTAGCCAGGTTTTTGGTCATGAGACGACATAAGAGGTGGAACAGGTTTAATGTTAGTACAGGGACGATGTTTGAGTGCTAAACAATAAGAGGGCATGTCACAAAGCACATGATTTCTTTCACCGTGACAACGCGTGATGCTCATCGTTAGCTACACGTTCAATACATAACACACACCTACATCTCCTCCTGTAAGCCCACACACGTGCTAACCTCAACACCATCGTCCTCGCCAGTGTACGGATCCCAGCTCATTACGAGCATGCTTTCGTACCTCAGGCGCTTCACCCCAGCGATGACGGTTCCGGTCTCTTCGTCCACCTCTTCCAGTTCCTCCAATACATCTCCTGTGTCATCTTGTCCCACGAGTTCCACATCTTGAACGACAAGCTCTGTGGCCTGCTCATCCGCCTTCTCTCCAACTCCCTCTCCTGCTTCCTCTCCACCCTGCCCTACGTGCACTTTCGTCTGTGCTGCTTCTGCTTCCTCCTCCCCTTCTTCTTCTCCGTCTTCCTCTTCTTCTTTGTCGATACGTACAGGGGTCTTCCCTCTCACATACGCCAAATACCTCGGGTTCCCTGGTTTGATAACGTTATCCGCCACTACCGTCGTGCCCTTTCCTACCCAACCCCCCTCCTCGAGCGCTTTTAGGTCCATTGTATAGTGCGGCTTATGATGATCCAAGAACACGAGATCGAACTGTGTTCCCGGGGCGAGGGCAGGCAGGAGCGCATGTAGTTTGAGGATGGAGCGTGTGGAGGGACCAATGAGGATCTTCGTTATGTCGCCCAGGCCGGCGAGGCCGAGCAGCGTGTTGGCGACATGGGCATAGGAGGCAGACTTTTCCAGGCAAATGTAGCCAACGAATTGTCTGGCGTCGCTAGAGAGAGGAGGGGAGGACGGCCAGGAGGGAGGGAGAACTCCGTTCGGATGGAGGGAGAGAAGATGCCGAGCGAACTTGATGGCTGAATATCCTACGTAAGTTCCCAGCTCGAGGATCAGCTGTGCACCCATTTTCCGGTCAGCTCCACAGCCGTACAATTTCTTGAGAAAAAGAGCGCACCTTCGCCCCCTTCTCTTTGATGATCTCCTCCACTACCTGCCCCTTATGCGCCCCGACGTTCATCAAATATTCTCCCTCTGCGAACCGGTCGATCGCCTCCAACACCGCTTGCGGCTTGCCCTGTAATTCATCTTTATGAGCAAGCAGGGCCGAGACAAGACGCTCTTCACGACCATCGCCGGAGAAGGAGGAGTACCCGCCGACTGGGGTATGCAGAGTAGGACGGTCTAGCATCGCGGTCGAAGTGCAGGTGGTGGTCATGGTACTCGTCATCGTTGCGCTTATATTGGTAAACGAAAGTTGGATGCGTCTTAATAAGTAGTCGAATCAGCTACGAAACATGCAAGGTCGACAATGACAGCCCAAATTAAGCCGACATCGTGCACTTCGCGTGTCAAGTGCACGTTGTCCTTTGTCAGTCGTTCCGCAGCCGGTGATCGCCATCCAACTTGTCCTCTTTATAGATTTGGACGTCCTGTGATGTTCGGGAAGAATTCAGAGCTGGTAGGCGCAGAGGACGGAATGTTGCCACCTTTTGCGGGAGAGATTCGACAGAAGGCAAGTCGAGGATCGACGTCGAAGCATGCCATGGCGAAATTGTTGATCGTTATTTTATTATAAATTGTCCGTATTTTCCTGAATTGTCCGCAGGATTGTTCTGGATAGTACGAGGAGGATGTAGAACGTTTTCTTGAGGAAGATATAACCCCCAGGAAGGGAAGCGATAACGGCGGTTGTGAAGAAGCGTCGGAATAAGCGCGCGTCCGTTTCCCTCTGATTCTTGCGCTTCTTTGCATTGAACTTCCATCTCGCACGAACCAACATGTAGATCTTTATTTTTCCCCTATATTTCTGCGATTCGTTGGGAGCAGTCACGGAGCAATTATCTGAACTCGGAAATGCTGTATCGCCTCAATCCCGGCGCTAAGCGGTGGCCGCAGCTGAATAGCATGCATGCGTCCACCATGCGCACACTGACGTCTGCTCAGCTCATCCTCTCATCAGTGTCATCGTCGCCTGCCTTGCAGCGCTCCCATTTCTTGTCTGTGCAGTGCTACATGACCCGCAGGACCTGCTGACGTTGCAAACACCGATCCGCTGCAGACCGGATAGGAAATCGCCGCATTCTCACCTCACTACTCCTTCCCCCCAGTGCAAGCGCCTATTCTTATGACTCACCGCTCCTCAGTTGGGACGTATATTACCTCGTGCATGGAATACATGGGTCTTTGACCTGCTCTACTCTTCACAAGCACCGCTGTGCCTCAGGAGCTTACACACTTATAAGCCGATATGTCGGTCCGTCCCTGCTCCTTTCCTTTCTCTATGACCCGCGCTTATGTCGCAATTCCCACCCCCCACCAGTCTTCCTCCGCTCGGAGTATGCCTACCACACCCCCGAGCCATCCCCTGAGTCAGAGAAGAAGAAGCACAGAAAGAAAGAGCGCGACCATCAAGAACAAACGGAGAGGCATAGGAAAGGCGATGGATTTGTAGTCGACGGCAACCAGTGGAGGACACCCTGGCCGGGAGTCAAAGGCTGGGCAAGTGATTTTCACGTTTGTGACTAATATATGGATGGATCAAGGAGCAACCGGAGAGGCTGATGATAGTATTATGGACGGAGGAATGCGGACACTAACGGTTGAGCTGCTGGTTCAGTCCAATTATTGTTCGATGGTGTATCATTAGGCCGTTATACCCTCTTGTAAGATGTGTGTCGTTCTCCACTTTTCGTTGTACATCAATATTCTTCTGTAATAGTAGTATGCAATCTCAGTATGTGTATCAAGATGTATTGTCGTTGAACTCTCTGACTCACTTTTTGTCAGTTTATAACATCCCCACCAATTATCAACTACTCTCGAAGCCACCCGATCTTTGCCGATATGATCCTGTGCTTACCCGTTCCCTTGGCGCTTCTTTCGGTGATCAGCGGCAAGGGTTCTCCAAGTCATTCTTGTTCCGGGAGGGCGCACGATTGCAAGAATTGTCCTTAATTACTCTCTTATCCTCACTTCGCATTGTCGCATTGTCGCATTGTCGCATCGTAACATTGCCATTGCAATTTCTCCTAATCACATATTGGTGACCGTATTCACATCAATTATTGTTACCATGTCCGCTCCTACTCCCGCCCTGCAGCCCGTCGAACCAGCTTCCTCCTCCTCCACCGCAGTATCCAACACTCCCCTCCCCCTGCCTGCCTCACACTGCCCCAAGCTCCCCCTCCGACAGCGGTTCTACGAGCACATGGATGCAGAAGTCGATGCGGACTATTCCACTGTGCCGCTGAGCATATTTTGCTTTATGACGGGTTATGTGAGTCTCTATCTCCACATATTGTAATAGGACGCTAAAGCATAAAGCAGATCGACAGCTTAACATTCTCCGCGTGCTATATCTGGTGTGCATTCCAAACCGGTACGCTCTTCCCCGCTCCCAAAATCCATAACACCTAACTCAAACAACCCAGGTAACACCGTCCAGCTCTCCCTCGCCATCGGGCGGCTGTTCACCGGTCCCTACCCGCGAGAAATCGGTTTCCAAGTACCCGATCAGCAAGCCCTCTGTTCCCTCCTCTCCTTCCTGCTCGGAGCCTTTATAGGCCGTATAGGGGACAAGCTCGGATCCCGCCGCCGACTCTGGCTCATCTGCAGCACCTTCATCCAAGCAGCTATGACACTCGCAGCGTGCCTGACAGCGTTCAAGAGTGGCCAAGTGAGCTTTGCGGGCCCGAGGGGGGAGCCGACTTGGACTAGTCCACTAGGGTTCGCAGCGCTGGGCTTTGCGAGCGCGAGCATGGGCTTGCAGGCGCATCTCGGTACTCGGTAGGTCTCACATTCCTCTTTCTTCCTCGTGGGGCTAGAGCATCGCCTGATACCCTACGTTTGCTATTAGGCTGGGATCGCAGTTCGCCACCACAGTAGTCCTGACCACCATCTGGGTCCAGTTCGTAGGCGACCCCAAGCTCTTCTCCCCCCACGCACCCATCAAGCCCAGGGACCACAAAGCGCTTGCCATCCTCATGCTCTTCATTGGTGGCCTGGTGGGGCGTGCACTGGACGGGACAATCGGTGCGGCGAATACGTTTGCGGTGGGGGCGGCAGTGAGGCTGTTGGTCACGTTTAGTTGGTGGTGGGTGCCTGCGAAAGAGAAGAAAGAGGGGAGCGTGAAGCAGGGCTAAGGGACGGCGCTCGAGCAAGGAAATGGAAGAGATGGCGGTGTAGATTTTTCTACTATGGGGTTCAATGGTGTGCGTGTACCATCATTTCACCTAGCATACTCACACATAGACTGGTTTCTAACATCCTCCCAATACATTTCATATCCATCACTCCATTCATCTTGGCCTGAATGGGCGTCTATCAATGGACCAAGGATGAGAGAGGAAATCACGTGCGTCATTAACGATAAGCCCAGGAATACACAAAGTGGGTATCGCCATTTCGTACAACCGAGGTATTAGCCTACAAAGGCCCCGATATCTTCTACAAACTTTCTTCCCTCGCCAACCCGTCACTCCCATGCAAGGGCATCTAGGCCGTGCCCAAGGGCACGCTTCTCGTCTTCGCCACCAAGCAAAGTGTTCAGCACCGCCGCAAGCCTGACACCGGCCATGGCGAGCACATGTTCGACGACGTGCTGATCCCTGATCGGACCAAGGTACTTGGGTGTATCGAGCTCAGGCGGTTTGCCATGAGTATCGTAGTGTGGCGGCCAGACGTATTGGCAGTTTAGCGGGTGGAGGGTGGTCGCCCAAGCAAGCGGGCAGATAGGTAGGTCGACGGGGTCGATCGGCGTCTTCGGACCAACATTGAAGATAGCTTGGTTTGCCAAGGAATGTACGGGGAAATCTGGACTGTTCTCGTCCAGATTGTGCGGGATGAGGAGGGAAGGGTCGAGGTCGCCGTCGGCTGGGCAGGTCGGCCACGCGAGGTATTCATCCGCCCACCAGCCGCGAATACCTTCCCAGACGATCCAGCGCACATAGGGATCGAAGATCGAACCGCGCAGCGCAGATTCTATGCGCGTGCTGGGGAGCGGGCGGGTATAATTTGAGAGAGTACGGATAGACTGGGTGATGAGGAGGGTATCCCAGACGGTGTGAAGGTCTGTGAATGCGTTAATGGGAGGTCACGTAAGAGACGAAGTGCTTACTTGTCGAACGCCCTTCAAACTTTACATGATCTACAAAGTCCACCATGAGCATGGGGTGCATAGAAGCGCATGCAGCCAGCACGTACCCCCATTGCCACCACGATCCCGACCAGACAGGTGCATAGGCATGTGCAGGTCGCCCAGGTAGTGCGTCAAGAACCTCACGGCTGTATCTTGCCTCTCAGCGCCATAGTTCTTGGTCTCGTACGTAACGTTCACCAGCGCTGATAGAAGGTTCTTCTCGCTGGTCCAACCTTGGTCGCCAAAGACACAGTGTTCCGCGGGGTGATCGCCGATGCCATTCACGTAGTGGAGGGAGCTTGTCCAACGCCATTCCGGCTTGCGCTTGATGCTGTCTGCCCAAGCAGCGTAGGGGGCAAGATGGCACCGGGCGTTGTAGGGAAGGATATCGCAGAGTTGTTCCTGTACCGAAGGGAGAAGGTGGATCTGTGCGATGGTCGCGACGATTTGGTGACCGGCCACTCCCCAGGCGAGAACGCGAGTGACCTGGAGAGCGCACAGAAGGGAGGAGATCAAAGAAGACGCGTATATGCGCATGGTGGTTGGAGAACAAGATGCTGAGTGCGTCCAACCAAAGGGGAACACAGGAGCCCTTACAACGCCCATAATAGGAGGTACGATGACATCCGTGGGTGGCGGTGCAGATAAATTCCGTATGAACGTGCGTCCAAGGTTCGGCGTCGTTCTCTCTGTGTCGCCTGCCTGAGGGCGCCTGGCGCGAGCACAATGGCAACCCCTCTCGAGGAGTTGTTCAACTTACCACTCGGATCGGAACGAGTGACAGACGCCGACGAAGAGATCTTTCTGCTCTACAGTCTGCTTTCATCTTCTGGTACTGAACGCGAAACTGGGCTGGGCTTTGTGGATCCGAAGAAGGGCGAAATCACGGTCTCGATTGACATCCACCCACCTATCAATGCACCGACACTATATCCGCAGCAAGAGATCGGATTCTCAAAGAGCAAGGGGAGAGGAAAGAGGAGGCGGTCCGGCAGAAGAATGAATTCCGAAGAAGAGAAACACATCGTGGTTACCCTAGCGCAGGACCTGTCCGGGCTCAAGAGCCGGAGGGGCGACACTGGTTAGCACGGTGCTTACATTTGAGAAGGCATGAGCCAATATTATATGTGAAGGAAGTGTGTTATGGCGGGCGAGGTGCGAACCAAAACCAAAAAACCAACTATAGGATGTGACAGGAATTCAGCATCCATTTAGCGGAAATACTCTTGCAAGAATACTACTTTCCTCCTTCACCGCCTCAGATTGCTATGCTCAGCTCCGCTCTGCTCCAGACCGCGCATGTCCTGGAGCTCGGGAGCGGTATCGGCCTACTCTCCGTTCTGCTCTCCCCAATCGTGCGCAAATATACTGCCACGGACATTCCGGCATCACTCCCCCTCCTGCAGAAGAATGGCGGATCAAACAACATCACCCAGGTTGTGACAGTAGAGGAGTTAGACTGGGTTTTCCTTGCAGGGCTAAACGAAGAACGGAAAACCCGATATTTTCCACTGTCAGATCCACCCGATATCGTACTCGCCGTCGACTGCCTGTACAACCCCTCACTTCTGAAACCGTTCCTGACGACCCTTTCGTATCTCTGCCGCCCTACATCTTCCATGTCAGAACGCCCCAAGAGGCGACCTGTTGCACTGGTCATGTCGGAACTCCGTGACTCCGAGGTTATGCGGGAGTTTCTCACGCTCTGGCTGGAGCTGGATGGAGACCAGGGAGGCTGGACGATTTGGAGAGCGGGGGAAGGTGTCCTCAAGGGAACACGTTGCGTACTTTGGGTAGGATGGAGAACTGGATGAAGATGCTGGGTGTCTCTCAGGTAACGGCGTGGGCAGTTGGTCACGCGCTGTGGTACACCGGCAGTACCGTAACAACTTCGGGATTCATGACTGAGGCAATCTCCATGACTTCTGAGCGGATCTACGCTGACTGTCAGATGCGGTGATTGATCTTCCATCCACTTGTCTGTAGGCTTCTTCTCTTACAGAGATGGGACCGGCTTGTCCCCAATACTGCGATTCCACCCTCCTACATTCGCTACCAAGCTATGCAGGAAGAAAGCCCGCGAAGGTGGAAATGTCGGAGGGGGTAGTCGACATGCTGGCGGCGTGCTTAGCAACAATCAAACAATCCGCCGATGCACAATTGCCTCCGTTTCACCGCGGAGAGGCTATGAGATATGGGAGTTTCAACCCTGCGAGAAGAGGGACCCGCCGATCCCGACCTACCCTCATTCACTGCCCGCCCCACACCACTGCTGAGGTGCTTCTATTCGGAGTAAGTTTACCAGATGAATGTCGGACATGGTATTGGATCCCATTCTTCGGTCCCTGCCGAATACAGCATTGCGCAAGAATCGTCAGTCTGCACTCATGAATGAGTGACACTATGAATGAGATGAGAGCGCTGAAATGAAGTTACTGATATAATAATAGAAATCAGGACGATACATTCATTATGTGTTGTACGTAAAAGCAGAATCGGCGTTACCGGAAGCAATCGGTGCTTCAAATTCAACACTGCTTTGACGCTCAGAGCGCGCGCTGCCCAGTGACCATTCCTTCCTCCGGCCCATGAACTACCTCTCCAAGGCACACACCATGTACAATGTAATTATCGTGCCAAATGGGCGCACCGTATCTGCAGATGATTTGGATGGCGTATCGACAGTTCGTGCCAACCTGTCGAATGGATTGGCTTTGTTGGTACGTTGTTGTCTCCTTATCATCTGCTCAGCCATCGCCTGACGGTGGTCTAAAGATCGAACCTCACAGCCGAAGCTGTCAAGCATGCAGGAAGAAGCGAACCTATTGTATACACGAGGAGGGATTCGCATGCTATACATGTCGCGCGAGTGGCGGATGTTTGTACAACAGCAGTCAAACGGTCGAGCCTCGTCGTGGTAGTGCGTGCTGCAGCCGAACTCTTGTGTATGTCTACTAATGCTACCCCTTAGACACATCCACGCCCTCGAAGAGACAGAGACCGACTTCTCCAGCTCCCCGTATACCGTACAAGGACTATCCTCGTCTTCTCCCAAATCTCCTTCGCACCAATACTCCGGCTCGCACTCAAGGTGAACCTTCGCCCCGATCGCCTAAGAAGCGGCGGACAGATCAACCACGGGGTTCTTCAACCTCTGCATCTAAGCAGAAAACTTCGACGCGCAAATCTGATGTCGTCGAAGAGCCTACCCTTCCCTCACCTGATCCGCTCAGCGATTATGACGTGGAGGAGCCGGGTGCCGAATCCGACGACGTGTCGATCAAGTCATCATCCTCGACGCGACACGAGACATTAGAAGCTGTGCGGTCTCTCCGAGAGGTCGAGCTTCCCTTGCCTCAGCTTTCAGCCAGGTTGAGTGACACGATGGCGTTCATCTCGCGAGCAGAACCAGTCTGGGAGCTGACGCGCTCCCATATCTGGCCCATTCGTGAGCTCTCGGAGTGGTGTAATGCTGAAGGCCGGAATCTGCGAGTGGACGTACGCCAGGAAGCGACCCTTGCGTGGGAAACGTTCCAGCAGGGCCAGATCGCGATGCAGGACGCACTCGAGAAGGCGAAGAAGGAAGCAAGGGTGCTCATGGACACGATAGCGAAAAGATTGTGAGACAGACATGTATTGAATTATGGTATCATGTAACCTCTTTGTACACGTTCTAGAGCATCTAAGGGATAAATATACAGGGGAAACGAGAAATTCATTGCGTCGTGTCAAACCACTGGGAAGAAAAGGGCGGAACCTACGCCTGACCAGGGAACTCCTGCTCCGCGTTCTCCTCCGTTTGACCTGGGAATATCTCTCTGTGTCTCTGAGGTGCTTGTCCAGGGAATTCCTGAGTGTACACGCGTTGCGGTCGCGGAGGGGGTGTCGTCGCCCAGTGCATAACCTTCTGGAGGATGGAAAGTGCTGATCCTGAAGTGCCCGAATGCGAGCTCGTCTGTGAAAGGGAGGCGGTCGACCCTTTTGGGGAGGGATCAGAGAAGTAGGTATTGCTGGCGGTGGACTGCTCAGAATATTAGCCTCATTATCTCCGGAAAAAAGGAGGATAATGACCATGATGGGGTACGTCAAAAAGTTGGATAAATGAGGGGGCTGAAGGGATTTAGGTGGGGGAATCAACGAGGGGGTCAAGAACTACAGTCTACGTGCACCTATCCATCGAACAGCGTAACTTTTATATTCATTTCACCATCCTTCGATTGCATGGTTTCAAGAAGAACAAGGGACGGAAGCGAGGGTCTCAACAGCCGAGGCCTCAACGGTCCTCCGCTCTGCTCCGAGTTGCCCCTTCACTGCCACTTCTACGGGTGTTCTCACCGAGTCCGGTGTCAATTTGCTGCACTTCTCTTGGGGAGGCTGATCACGGAAACTCCTACTCCAACCTCCACCAGGTGATGACCGGGACACTGCTTTCGTCCGGAGAGAAAGCTGATTCAATGACGAGTGTGCTCGATCACGTGATCCGACAGATTGATTGTCCACCGAACTTCCTACAGTACACATGACTCGATCACAGTCATGAAATGCAAGTTCACTAACAATACAAAAGGGGATGAAGGTCAAGCCTAAAATTTTTGGGGAAGAATATCCCCTAGTCCGGGTTTCGTACAACCCACTTGGGTGTTCGAGAACTCCGAGATGTGGTGGAGGTGAGCTTTCTCAGCTTCGTCAGTAAGCGAAGACGGTCGGCCGGAGATTGAGCGATCTCTTCGTAAGGCAGCGGGGCAACATCGGGGAAGTAGGAAGAGCATGCCTCGCTCTTGTACGGGCAGAGATAAGGCGAGACGTAGGGAGGAGGCGGTGTGGTTGACTGCTGCTTTGTCAGCTGAAGATCGCAATCGGTTATGGGGAAGACGTACCATGGTGCTTGTCTTGACCGCAGGGAATGGCGTTGAGATGCAAGGGTGCTGCCGTAGAAGACTTGCTCGTGTGCGGCAATGTCCAAAAGAGAACGCGAACTCGACTGTGGGAGGTTGCGTAGTCTCATGGACTTTTATACCGAGTTGACTTCATACCTTGTATATCACGATACCATATTGGTACTAATGGCCGGTCTAGACCTCTGCCCAAGCGTGCACGGCCTTTGCCTGAGAATGACTGATTCAAACAGGTTGGTGAGTTGCATTTTCTCCCCGAAAGTGTATTCAAAGCACGACGTCATTGGACCCCTAGCCCGATGGACAGTACACTTATGACCGCATCATGTAATGCGGAATGAATTGTAAGGGTAGTTCCTCTATGTCATCACAGAATTCAGTCATGTTTTCCACAGTTCCATGCCTTGAAGTGGCCTAGAACGTGTACTCAGCATCAAGATATGACGGCTTCACATACGGTGGGAAGACGAAGCTGCGGAGGTCTACTCCCGGGACCGACCGGGGATAACGGGACCAGATTTGCTTACTGTGCTTACTAAGCCACCGATCGCCGTTTCTTCCCCCGACATTCCCCGTCCGGTTTCCCTATGTCCACTCTGAGTGGGCTCCGAAACGTCATTACGTCCGCGGACACTGTTTGGCGTCTGTGATGTTGCGCGAAGAGCTATCGTATCGTTTCGGGCGCTTAGAGGCGCAGAATATTTCGGTATGTTGTCCTTTGTCGGAGGAGAGCGGAGCGCCGCCGCAAAAAAGGTGGAGAAAATATCGGTAGAGTACGAGTGACTCGCCTTTCGCGTTTGTATATAAACCAGACCGGGCCAGGTCATGGGAAGTAAGCACGCGTCGCTCACGAATATCGTTCACTCTTCTGAGCTCATCAACATTAGTCTTCAGATCTTTCACAGCCCAGCGCTCTGCTCTTATAATGGTGCGTGCCCCGCCCACCATCTGGGAACCCTTCCGCTGACGAACCGCAGTCTACTCCCGCCTCTTCCTCGCAGCTCACGCCAACGTCTTCAACACCAGTCGCAGCACCAGTCGCAGCACCGGGACGCGTCCCTCCGCAATACCAACCCCCTCCTCGCAAAACCCTTTTTGAGAGGTTCAAGCACTGGGCCACATCGGGCCCATATCGCGAGCGCAAGCGCTACACCCAGGATTTTCCTGGATCAGACGGACCGGAGGAGGATGTTAGGCAGGACTTCCCCGGTGCGGCCGGAAACTCATGATCGGCGCAATCCTCGTCGAGGGATTCATAAAGAGCGCATCCTTGTTGGCCTGCTCGTTGTCGGTCTACTCCTTCGTTGGATGGCTAGTGGACCCAGCAGGCAGCGGTCGAGGATGAGTGATGGATGAAGTGGCGGTGTGGTCTTTTTCTCAATGCTGTGGCAATTTGTCGTTGTTTTCTTTTAGACTGCTAGTTCACTATAATGGGATTCCCACGTTACCGCTATCATATCAGTTAATCCGCCATCGCGGGAGTCATCAGAGTTATCTCATTGGTGGGCGGCCCCCGCGCCTATTTCAGTGAATGGGAAGACCTGCCTAATGAGGACGCGAAGCCGCAGTGCCACCGCAGTGCCACTTCGGGAGCAAAGGTTCTCACTTCGCTCTTACCATATCCGGCGGCAGCCCACCTTTCCCGCGCTCTTCCACTTCGGCGCCGTAGACTCGCCTTTGTTCCAGGCCCCATCCTCTCCCCCCGAGAAGACCCCTTCTCCCGGCGTCCGACATCTCTCCCTTCGGAATTCCGCACCTCCGGTATACCTCCTTTCGGGTCCGGGCTCATCCAACGGGGAAGCGCTCCCTTCGGTGAGGTTTGGCCACATGCGTGCAGGATATGCTGAGTGCGCATTCCCTGGGGAGCTCCAATGGGATGGCAGCGGTCAACGCACATGACGGGATGACTGGTGCTGCTGACTCGACTACCTTGTCCGTACACGCGTTTCTGACTCGTCCGGTAAAGGCAATGACCTCATGCCGTGTGAACAGCGAATTGTTGTATTACAAATCAATTTTGCAATAACAGCAGTTCATGGCTGACTTCATATGCATCAGTTATCATACAAGTCCTCCGCAGGACCCTTCTCTAGGTCGGCCCGCTCTTTAGAAGGCGCGTAGTTCCTTCATCCGGACCCGTCCGCCAGCGGTCGACCCCTCTCGGCAGGTTCCTGAGCGTGTCCGAGTTTCCGTTCCCCATGAGCACTTTACCTCGCCGAGAGCCTGCGTCGACGTCGTTGTCACTCTTCGTCGGCGCCGTGACTCCCGCAGATGCTCCGCTGACTGTGCGGCGGAGCGGAGCATGCCCAAGTTATTTAACAAGCCGCTCAAGATGCTCATCCTCACCAGCAGCGAACGTACTCCCCACGTCCACCGCACTCTCGACACCTCCAAGGTCGTCCTCTACCGCCTGAGCCCTCATACCTCCGTGCTCTCTAACCCTCGCACACAATGGTGAGATACCTTTCCGATATTTTCATAAATCAGCGCTGACAATATCCTTTCTAGTCTAACACTCCTCCTCCTCCCTACCTCAGCCGGTGCCCGTCGTTCTACAAACTGCCGAGTGACGCCCCTCCCCCTTACCCCTACTCCGATGCCAAGCACCCCGCATGCTTTGGCCAAGCCGATGCCGATGAGCTCGCACGCAAGCTCTCGCAGCTGACGATGGTCGCACCCACACCCATGCCTTCTACGTGCCCAACACGTCCTACTGTCGCACCGCGGCGACCCAAGCCCAGAAGCCTGCGCGTCTGCAACCCAGACCTCGCATAAAACGGCACAGTCAGAGCCCAACTGGCGCCCAGTCATCGGCATGCGCGCCACGCCCACTCCAGCGCGACACTTTTCTTTTCTTTTCTTTCTTGGGTCTTAGGGTTATTCGTCGATTCCTCAATTGTGATACCCAGTACGATTGAGCCGGACATTTTTACACATTTACCCGCACTTGCATGGATGCCAGCATTAATGTAAAGTAGTGTATGGATAGAAATTACCAATTTTGATTCATTCTGCCTTACGTGCTGGTCTTACCTCATCTGGTTGACGTAAGCTTAGTACCCTTGCCGCTCCAGAATCGAAATTTTGTCCCTTTGCTGAATACTTACTGTAAGTCAGCGGCGACCTAAGGCCTATGATGCCTGAACATCAGCCTGTGGCATGGGACAAGCATTCCACGCAAAAGATGACCTACACCCCAAAGATCATCAGTACGTTCCTCCTTCCTGTATGGCTCATCACTGACATGTTACCAGCGGCGAACGGTGTCATCAACGGTCCAACGACGCCACTGAATCGGACTCCTAGCAGAGCTTCAGGTTCAGAAACACAAGGAAGTCGTCAGAACAAATCTCGTTCACCCAATGGGTCGATCAACAATAAGACACAGCATGCATCTCCCAATCTGGGGCAACGGCGTTCGAGAACCGCATACATGCAGTCGGACGAGGAGGATGAGCTTAGTAGTCAGCCTAACTCGCAATCACCGAAGAAGGAGCGAAAGATGAACGGAGCTGCTCTTCCGAATGGAGGGAAGGATGAATTGAAGAGGAGCAAGGAGGAGGATATCAGGTCGCACAGGATGCAGCTGCCGATATATGATGGAAAGGGGGCGATCGTTAACGCGGTTCGCGAGAACGATACCGTGGTTGTTCTCGGCGAGACGGGGAGCGGGAAAACGACTCGTGGGTCCTGCAATTGATCATGTTGTTGCAGTACCACTAATTCATGGTATGCAGAGTTACCCCAGTATCTGTTCGACGAAGGGTTAGCAAAAGACGGCATGATCGCTATCACTCAGCCTCGTCGAGTCGCCGCTGTCACCATCGCCGCCCGGGTATCAGTTGAACAAGGCACATCCCTTGGGGAACAAGTGGGATACAGTGTTCGATTCCAGGAACGCACGTCGCGGTTCACGAAAATCAAGTTCTGCACAGACGGCATGCTCGTCCGCGAGCTGTTGCTCGACCCTTACCTCGAGAAGTACAGCATCGTCATCATTGACGAAGCGCATGAGCGGACGCTGCGGACCGATATGCTTCTCGGCAGTTTGAAGCGCATACAGCAAGAGCGGAAGGCAGGCGAGAGACGGAGTAAGGACGGGAAGAAGCTCGATCAGCTCAAAGTGGTCATCATGAGCGCGACCATGGACGCGGAGCGGTTCAGCAAGTTCTTTGGCGGATGTCCTATTTTGTATGTCTCAGGAAGGCAGCATCCGGTCGCGATTATGCATGCCGAAGAACCGGTGGAGGACTTCATCTTTGGTTGCAAGAGGGTATTCTTGCAGATACTTACGAACGAGCCGCCAGGAGACATCCTCATGTTCCTTCCAGGTGCGTTGGCCCGTCTTCTGGTATTCATGATAGGTTCTAACGCCCTGTAGGACAAGACGATATCGAGTCCATGATGAAAACTACACGTGATATGATCACCCAGCTGCCGCCAAATCTCGCGAAAGTGCTGTCGCTGCCTCTATATGGTGCTCTCCCACCAGAGCAGCAGCGGAAGATATTCGATCCTGCACCTGAAGGGTTCCGCAAAGTCGTATTTGCGACGAACATCGCCGAGACGTCTATTACCATCCCCGGGATCCGGTACGTGGTTGATACCGGCCTGTGCAAAGAGCGGTCATACCACACCGGACATGGTGGTAGTGGACTTGATGAGCTCCTCATTAAGCCGATATCCAAGTCAAGTGCTCGGCAGAGAGCGGGTCGTGCAGGCCGTCTCGGAGCAGGAACATGCTTTAGGCTATATACCGCCGACACGTATGAGGCTCTGCCAGAAGCGCCAATTCCGGAGATACAGCGATGTGACCTCAATGCTGCGATATTGGATCTCAAAGTCTTGGGTGAAGATCCGCTTACGTTTGATTATATCGATCGGCCGCTGGACGACGCCATCCGCGCGAGTCTGATGACGCTGTATGCGCTTCAAGCACTGAACGCGCAAGGGCATCTCACACCGCTCGGGAGAAAGATGTCCTCTTTCCCCCTCGAGCCGTCTTTATCCCTCGTCGTGATCTCATCCAAGGCACGGGCGTGTACTTCAGAGATACTCGATATTGTCTCCCTCCTCACGTGCACTGCGAAGTTGTTTGTGGACACGGGTGATACGAGGGAAGTCGCTGCGGATGCAAGGAAGAAATTCCGACATCGGGATGGTGACCATTTGACATTGCTGAACGTCTTCCGCTCATATGAGGACGTCGTTTCTGCCAACACGAGCACAGGCACCAACATCAATGCGGACGCTCGAACTGCCAATGTCAAGACGAACGGACCGTCCACTTACGCAGGCAATCGACGCGCTGTCCGACAGTGGTGCTTCACCCATTTCCTGAACGAGAAAGCCCTAAACGAAGCGCTGACGATTCGCACGCAGCTGCGAAATAACTGTGAGCGGGAAGGGATCGATTGGAAGGTTTCGTGTGGTGATGATCTTGAGCCGGTGCTGAAGTGTCTGCTGGATGGCCTCTTCAGGAAGAGCGCGTTGAAGGCAGCTGATGGGACGTATCGCCAAATTGGGATGCAACAGGTGCTCAAGATACACCCCAGCTCCAGCCTGGTTGACCGGAAGCCCGCAGCGATCATATTTGATGAGCTGGTGCGTGCCTTATTTGCAAAATACCTCGCCTGGTCTTGATCTCAACTGTGTTTTCTAGTTGGTCACGACAGCCGTATACGCTCGCGGAGTGTCAGTCATCCACTCTTCCTGGCTTGTGGACACCCCCCTCTTCAACAGTAAGAAAGACGAACCTGTGACCCATGCGAATGGCCAAAAGGGTGCCATCCGTAAGAACAATCACGCAAACGGCACCAACGGCAATACCATTTGACCCTGGTCCTGTGTTTCTTGCATGTCCTGCATCACCTTATCTAACATTCTCTTGTATTACCCTTGCATTGTATGTCATCCTCAATATCTTACACGAGCGTCGCAACCTCTTGGTTGACGAAGTCCTCAACCTTGAACCCGCCTGTAGGTTTCTGAATAAAGCCAGTCTGCTCCAGCACCCTATGACCTGATCAGTTGATTGAAACAAGCAAAGAGCTCTATCACGCACTCGAGAGTATTGGCCAGAACCTCCCCCTTGATCGTCCCGCACTCATCAACATACTTGACCGTCTCGAGCCACGCCCTCACATCCTCTTCAGGATATCCGTGACTCTTAACAATATACTCCGCATCCGCCTTCTCCCTCCCCTCCGGGCTATCAAACGTTCTCACGAACCCGCTCAAGCCCTTGAGGAACTCCACCACTTGCGTCGCCGGTGCCCGCTCGGGATTGGTGGAGGAGGCGATCATCCAGCTCGGCCAAGGGGTGGGAACGCTCCCGATGAACTTCACCTCTCCAGAATCGCGGTACGGCTTGGTGGTAAACCACTCCCACATGAAGCAGCTCGTACTCCCGTCGTTGACGCTATCCCTCAAACCCTTGAAGTCGTCGTTAACCTTGAACTCTAGAGGTGTGATCTTCCCGTCCGGTTCGAACCAGCCTTGCTGCAGAGCCATGACACACGCCATCGTCTGACTTCCACTGCCGACGCGAGAGATGCCGACGGGAGTACCCTTGAGATCCGAGATGCTGTTGTACGGCGCTTGAGAGCCGGTGATCACAGCCCAATTGAGGGAGCTGGAGACGTACGACCCGCACAGCTTGTAGCACGTCTCGCCTTTCGCCAAACCGGCAAGAAGGGGGTCGGTGAGTGCGCTATTCCCCGATCAACATGAGCGGCGGATGGGAGGAAGTTAGCGCACATGGCAATGTCAATCTGGTCCTCTTTGAGTGCTTTAATCAGCTGACCTGTGCCACTTGGGCAGCAGACGAGGGTGAACGTCTTGTCCTGATCGAAGTTGTGAAACTGCATGAGCGGTGTGAGGAAATGTTCGGGAACATAGCCAATTCGAAGAGGCATCTTTGACGGTCGTTTGGAGGAGGTGAGCGAGTGGGAAGAGAGAGACTAAGCAGAAGAGCGAAGTAAGTTATACATAGCACGCGCTGGTGGACTACAGTCACTGCGTGTTGAAGGGTCCTTTGCGGTGTGCCACCCAGGTAGCCCAGACAACCTAGGTAAGGATGGATAGGGCAATGTGCACAGATGGACTAGGTACTGCGCTACCTATGTAATTCCATGCTGCCTGAGACAACGTGGGAGGGGAACCTGCAAGGTTCAGGGACTTAGACATTTGCGGGACTAGTACTAGTACTAGTACTATTGTCAGGGATCACCTAATTTCGAAATATCGTGATCATCTTGAACCCATGATACAGATCGAAGGACCAAGAGAAACATCTCGACCATCTAATGTCATATCGATGGCTGAGTCGAAATCCTCTAAGTCCCTAGGACCCTGCCCTAAGGTAATCCCTGCTGTACAGTTCTCAGCCACCTTCTTTAGATTACTTCTGTGCCTATCATAGATAGTCTCATCCCCTTTCGTCATTTCATGGTTAGATCTGATCTCTTAGGATCCTCCACAATACTCAAACTAGGCATCAGCATCTCATCAAACTTATCTACTTGAGTGAACCAGATGATACTGTCAGCTTGTGCTCTTGATATCCTAGTGCTCCTCTCAATACTTCTCTTGACCTCTGTCAACACCACCATTACTTGACAATATCTGCCAGCCTGGTCTTGCAATATCTTGGCCTGGTGGTCTTGCTCTCTCAACCCTTTACACATCCTCTATTGACCCTTTCCAGTTGTATTGATGGCAGCCTCATGTCTGGTATTGTGTGCCCTGACAACTATACTAGTTGTACTTATACACCAATATTGCTTACAATTGGTATCTACAAAGACAGTCCTAGGAGTATTGCTTACTGGGGCATTGCCCTGCCTACCATGAATGATTTACTCACTTGCACCCACATCTGCCTTCATCTTGATTCCCTTGGTGGCAAGCTCAGCAACCATGCTGAGGATGATATTGGTGATGGAGATGCCTTCTTTCTTTGCCACAATGAGCACCACTGGAAGAATATCAGCATAAGGAAAGTTTTGGGGTGAACAACTAACTCAAGAACATCCCCCAGAACACAGGATTGTGCATCACCAACACCTTGGTGATCTGCTGCATACTCTCCAAGGCCAAAAGGATCACCCCAATGATGCAGAGACTGCAGTATCCTGTGTACTGCCAGTGCCCATAGTTCTGCACCTCATCAGGGGTCACAACATAGTGGGTGATGGTGCTGAGGGCTTGAATGATATTGCTGCACCATTCATCCCTGGTGTCCCAGCCTGCAAGAGCAAATGGTGGGAGCATCCATTGCTGGGGCTTGACCTCAAGGATGGAACACACCAGCCTTGCAGCACATTCCTCCTCATGCGGAGCAGGCAGGTGTTCTCCAGCAGGGCTGTGCATTGAATGAATGGTGGGGAGCACAGGGCCTTGATCAGGATCAGGAGGATGAGTGATCCTTTCTTCATTGACCATGGGAGGTGAGTGTCAGGGCACCAGCTCATTGCTTGGTCAAGAGACATGACTAAGCCTTTATGACA